CGCCCCCCGCCCCGCCACGGCGCCTGCGCGAGTCAAGCCCCGCCCCCTCCTCCGCTGCTCCCGCCAATCACCGCCGCCCGACCCGGGTGACGCGAAGGTTTCAGGACACACCTCCCACCCACCCCCCCCCCCAACCCAGGGCGCGGCGGGGCGGGAAAAGGAGGACCCCACGTGACCGCGCGGCGCGCCCCGCCCCGCTCCCGTTGCCGCGGTGGGCGCCCCGAAAACCCCGCCCCCTCTACCTCGCGCCCGTCGCCATGGCAACCCGCGCGCTCGCCCTCGCGCGCCGCCTCGCCCTGAGGGGGGGGGGGATTCGTGAGGAGGGCCTGGTCGGGGTGCTGAGGGCTCGGCTCGGCAGCGCTCAATGTGGTTTTAAAGAGGAAAAAAACGCGCTGTTTAAAGCCCTGAACCCGAAGTGTATGAGGCAGATCAGGAGTTGGGCTGTTTGCGGTGCTTGTCGCGGAGAATAATTCCGGAAGTCAAGCGGACGAGCGGCAAAGCGGAGCAGCCCCTGCTGGGCGGGCGCTGCTCTTCCCTGACAGGGTGTTCGCTGTCTGGGTGCTGGAGCGAATATCTGGCCTTTTTTTCGTGCTGCTGGGAATTTAAACTGCTGTGACAGCAGAGGAATTGCCTTTTCGGTGATTCCGTAATACTGAGACTTGAGAATATTGCTTTGCTCACTCAGAGAAAGTGAAGGTACAGGTGAAGGTTTCGCATCTCAATACAGCCTCTTGTGAATTGTATAAATGACACCGGATTTATAAGATAAATGTAGATTTTTCACCAAGAGCTTCAGCAAACACCACAGAAATGTGGGAATGCCAAACACGTGACAAAACTGAAGTTGTTGATTCCATAAAATCATGGGATATCCTGAGCTGGAAGGGACCCACAGATCATCAAATCCAGCTCCTGGACCTGGAAAACACTTGGATGAAGCAGAAGGGAGCCCAAGGAAACAGTGTTGCTGCAAAGGAAGAAGCAGAAAGCCATGATACAAACGTGGAGGAAGACACCAATGATGGAAATAAAGAAGGTGGCTCCAGTGGTGCTGCAAATGAAGAGGAAAATGATGCTGGAAGTGAAGGAAAAGAAGGCAGTGATGATGGGTGTGTGCAGGAAGGCACAGCTCTACTGCTGTTCAAAGAGGTGCTCACACACAGAGCTGTGCTTGTGGGCTCCTGTGTTTATATAACTGTGTATAGATTAACACTGTAGTTAGTTAGTTCATTTATCCCTGTATATATATCCTGTATAGTTATAACTCACATATAGACATAGATGTATGTATATATATATAACATGCTCACACCTCATGTGGGCCCATGTGTATGTTAACTGTATATATGTAACTGTAAATATGTTAACATTTCAAATGTATATTATAATACGTTATAATAATATAGCTATAATAATAGTTATAATGATAGTTATAATAATAACTTACAATAGCTTATAATAAAATCGCTTATAATAGCTTATATTTAAATAATATTATGATATAATATAATAAATATAATATAACAATATAATATAATGACATAATATAATATAATGATATAATATACTATATACCATTTATACAATATTATATATGACAACATAGAATAAATATTAAAATGTAATAAATTTCACTATATAAGAAATTTTGCTCTATAACAAGTATTAATATATAACAATAACGAAATACTATTTTATTTTATTTTCTATTCTTTTATGTAACTATTTCAATGCTATTTAAACATTTAAACCCCCCGGGGCCGAAGCGGGCACGGGGGAACCCTCGGGGCGTCACTGTGGGCGTGGCCATGCCCTTGGCCACGCCCCCTTGCTGGCAAACTGAGGGCAGTGGCGTCAGTCGCAGCCCCCTTGGCCCCGCCCATCTCCTGGCAGTCTGAGGGCAGCGGCGTCAGCGCCGGCCGGGCCCGCGGGCCCCATGGCCGCCGTGTTTCTGGTGACGCTGTACGAGTACTCGCCGCTGTTCTACATCGCCCTGGTCTCCGTCTGCTTCCTCGTCACCAGCGCCGTCGTCCTCGGCTGGTCAGTGCTCGGGGTGGGGTGAGGGGTTGGCGCGGGGGGCGAGGCCGGGCTGGGCGCGGCGTGGAGAGACGTGGTCTAGGGGAAGGTGTCCCTGCCCGTGGCAGGGGGGTGGAACTGGATGGGGTTTAAAGTCGCGTTAAGCTCTTTCCTTCTCTCAGCAATACCGAACTCTTCTGAATGTTTTTTGCAATGTTATTCGTGATATCGGCAAGCTCTGTGTTTGTATGTGCTGAACTACTGTCCCGGGAAGGGAAGGGAGCTGGGAAGGGGCTGGAGCAGCAGGAGGGGCTGAGGGAGCTGGGGGGGCTCAGCCTGGAGAAAAGGAGGCTCAGGGGGGACCTTCTGGCTCTGCAATCCCTGACAGGAGGGGGAGCCGGGTGGGATGTGCTCCCAGGGAACGAGGGACAGAACGAGAGGAAAGTGCCTCAAGGGGAACTTCAGGTTGGACATCAGGAGGAATTTCTTCACAAAACCCCTTTCATGCAGAGGCTTTTCCCTTGTTTACAGCACTTGTTTGGCTCCCTCTGGCTCGCACTCATGCCTCTGTTGGTCTCGGGGCGAACAGAGCACATCTTTTGACCTTTCAGATACGTTTTGTGAGAAGTTTAATTTTTGCCTTGCAGTTCCTCCCCCAGTGCTGGGTCTTTTTGTTTTCGTTTCTTTGTGCTGGATGAAGCTCCACCCCGTTGTTTGCTTGGGGACAGAGGTGGTAGGAATCCTCTTTATAAGTCTCTCTGTCCCTCTGCACTGGTGGTATTAAGTTGCTATCCAGTTCTCTTCACTTCATCATCAGTTCTTTAAAAAAAGAAGGTACCTTTATCACCATTGTCATCTTGCTTTAAAGAGATCTTTAGAAAAAGATGAGACTGGGCCATGATTCAGATAAATCTCCAGCATGTCCATGCCCAAACCAGTGATCCTTTTGTAATTTAATCGTTGTTTAACTGTTTATAATAACTGGAAACCGTGTGGAAATAGGTGTGCCACGAGATCCTTGTGTGCGTGCACGCGCCTGTTGTTGCTTTTTGGCCACAGGGTGTCGAAGAGCAGCGCCCAGAGGCGTTTTTATTTCGGGATCAGAGAT